ATAAGTCTTTCAACTATAAATTATCATCTCATTGTTAGATCTAATAAAGAAGGCCAGACATACATGCAGATATTAGTCACTTCCTTAATCTATTACTTTGAACTAATACCATATTCGGTTTTTTCACCCTACTTTTTGTGACGAATACCATTGTAGTTTTGTGTAGACGCGGTGATTTCTACTAATACAATTAGGTAACTTTTTATTAAACATACCATATGGTTTGACTTATTGAATATAGGAATATAACAGTGACTTAGATCGTAGATAATTAAATCCAATATGTCTCAATTCTAGAGATGGAATTTCAGCTCCAAGTACTAAACATCACACATCGCATTTAAAATGGAAGGTTCTATTAATAATAGAACGAATAAACTTACTAATGTTCATACTTGTTCCTTATTTCAAATTATTTACTCCAATGAGTTTTAAAGTTGATATTTTACGTTCACAGGTCGATGCAAGATCATATCTCCTCGATTTTAAGTGTATTGATGAAAGTCAATTAGAATCGGAAACAGCGATGGGTAGATTACGTTCAAACAATATGTCAGTATGCCTTGATTCTTTTGGTGGAAGTAAGTTTCAACCATATTTATTTTTAATGTCTTTTTTTTACCAATGGTATTAAATAATAATAGTCACAATAATAATGAAGATATTTTAATGTTATTACGGATTAAAAAATCTACAACATATAAATTTTCAGACGAATGTTAGTTCGCACAAGTCGCCGTGCTTTGTATCAAAATATTGAAAAGTTAAGAAAATAGTGAGATTAATAATAAAACGGAAACTCATAAAAAAATATGAAATAAGAGTAACTGATACAAACAAAATAAATGATATTAACACTGGTCAGCTAGTGAAAAATGAAGTACAAAGGTTCAATACAGTTTTTCTACGAGCTACTAACAAACCCAAGGAGTTCAAGAAAACTCTCAACAACAGGTTCTAAGCCTTACAGGATCTATTGAAAGGAGAAACTACTATGAAGGAAAACTGAAAATAAGTCAAAGAAGCACTAATGTCGACGTGTCAGGAGGTCCTGGACCTCAAGAAGCATTATTACAAAGAATGGATGTTTATGCAAATCCTGGACAAGGTCCGAGAAAGGAAGAACAAGAAGACAGCAATTAATAACAGCTGAACAAGAACAGAGAAAGTCAAGACACAAACTGAATATGCTGAAGCAAACAAGCAAGCACGTTGAAGAGCTAGCAACGACAACGGAAAAAGCTGTAAGAGAAGGAAATATGAGACAACTATATGAAACGACAGGGAAATATAGCAAACCAAGTCAAGTACAAGGAAGGCAAGGCAATCACTGAGATTCAAGAAAAGAGCAACAGATGTGTAGAATACTTCGAAGAACTCTTGAATAGACCAGCTCTACTGAATCCACCGGACTTCGAAGCAACACCTACAGACCTTCATACAGATGTCACTCCGACGATCGAAGAAATCAGGATGGCCATCAGACAAACCAAGTGTGAGAAAGCATCAGGGCTTGACAACATACCAACTGAAACAGTGAAATCGGACAAAGAAGTAACTGCAAAGATGCCCCATGTTCTATTCAAAAAGATTTGAAAGAAAGAACAAGTGCTAATGGATTGGAAGGAAGGCTACTTCATCAAGATACCACAGAAAGGAGATCTGAGCAAATGTGAGAAGTACAAACGGATCACACTACCGTCAGTACCAGGAAAAGTTTTCAATAGAGTGTTGCTGAACCGGACGAAACACGCATTAGACACCCAACTTCAAAATCAACAAGCTGAATTCTGTAAGGATCGATCGTGCTTACCCTCCTTCTTTCTCTTTATTCTGGTGATCGATTGGATTATGGAGACCTTTATATCTAAGAGGAAGAACGGAATACAATTGACAGCTCGGGATCGACTAGAAGATTTAAACTTGGCAGATGACCTAGCTCTTCAATCATATACATACAAACAAATACAGACGATTACAACTAGTGTAGCAGAAGCCTCTACATCAGTAGGCCTCAACATACATAAGGAGAAAAGCAAGATTTTCAAATACAACACAGAGAACACCAACCCAATCACCCTCGATGGAGAAACTGAGGAAGATGTGGAAACATTCACGTATCATTGAAGAACAAGGAGGATCTGATGCAAATTTAAAGGCGAGGATTGGCAAGGCAAGGACAGTATTCCTGCAGTTGAAGAACATACGGAACTCAAAACAATTATCAACCAATATCGAAGTCAGAATCTTCAATACGAACTTCAAGACAATCGTACCGTACGGAGCTGAAAGGTGGAGAAGTACCAAAAACATCATCGAGAAGTATTTATAAACAGTTGTCCACGCAAAATACTCAACATTCACTGACCGAATACCATCAGCAACGGCCTACTATGGGGGAGGACAAACCAGCATCCAGCTGAAGAAATCAAGAAAAAACTTTGAAAGTGGATAGGATATGCATTACGGAAATCATCAAACTGCATGACGAGGCAAGCCCTTACATGGAATTCTGAAGGGAAATGGAAAGGGCGAAGCACATACTACATCAGGAATTGAGAGCAGACGTGAAAATGATGGAGAGTGCTGGTGAGTGTTATATGCTCTCCTGCGAGGGGTAACAGGCGTATATATATATTCTGTATTTACTTTTGTTTTTAGCTCCTCCAGCTGCTATGGGTACTTCAACATGTAGTAGAGATGGTAGTTTTTCTGGTAGCACTGGATCTGCTAGTCCAACCAATTGCTCCGATGGTCCAAATACAACTGAATTTTCTCGATCGTTTTCAGCTAATTGTCAAGAAGTACCGATTAACCGAAGAACTAAACGACATCAAACAATGGAATTTTTTGAAATGTGTACTGAGCTTATTACTACTTTGGCTCGATGATCTACTGTAATAGTGTTTAAGCGCAGATTCCACGAGATTCAAAAACTAATCTCTGTACACAAGGACGGTAAATACTACTGTCGCCACTGTATATGGTGATTAGTTCAACAAAAAATCTCTATTTGTAGTATTTATCGTTCCTTTTTATTTCAATTCCTGATTTAATTATTAATTAGCATTACTTTAAACCAGAAAAGTGTTGACCTTATTCCTGTCGCCCTTATCTCTTACAGACGATGTAATGTTTATTTAATTTGATTTCCATTTATACATATACATATATTTATTCATTCTTGCTTGATAGCATTTATCTTTTAAAATAATAATAGAAGGAACATTATTTTGTCTGTTGGGGGCACTTTTATTTAATTCTCTGATAATCAATATATTTGAGATAATTTTCAAAAATATATATGATTATTTGTAGAATGTAGAAAACTATTTAGATGAGCATATATTAATAGGAAATCAAGTATTGAAATAAGTAAACCATATTGAGGAATAGTGCAATGTTGACTCTTATCTGCTTACTATCATCTATAATCTCGTATGCATTCAATCTAATCAAGGCTGTTGAAACTGAAATTCATCCTTCATCACGTTCTCACACAGATGAACTTAATAAAGTTCGATTGTAACGACAGTTCTTGAAATTGTATCACATTGATCTACAGGTATTTTTAAAATTCCTTGCACTAAAACATGTACCAAAGAAATACACTACTCAGCTGAACGTTCTTTACTCGGAGACCATTAACTCTTTCTTAGTTAGCCTTCATCATAATTGCTCTGGAAATGCTATTTTTTGTTAGACTTGACTATGAATGTACTTTTATGGTACGTCGATCATCTAGATTTTCTGGTCATCGAGGTGGCGTATTTCCTATTTGATACTGTAGCAAAATGCAGTTTTTCAAACATTATTTACGAGTGTTTATGATTCTATATTTATTCCCTCCACAATTAGAGAATGATCTTATTATCGTTGTTTTCCAAAGCCTAGCCTGAACTCAATGACCACTCTCCAGTAATTATTAATATCTGAACGCCAATACAGAATGGTTGTCAAATAGTTGATTAATAAGTGCCTTTAAAACATTAGTCATATTAACCCAACAAGCAAACATTGAGTGCAGGTGTGATCTAAATAAACGGTATTACTCGATAATGTGAACCTTAACTAACTGAGAAATATATCATACGCACTCAGCTACGATCCATATCATTGTTCAATTCTGGCTAACAATTTGTAGATTGCATCAAATTATAAAGATTGTTGAATAATCTGTGTAGCATTTCTGATTGAGATTCGCAATGACATTTGTAATTCTTAGTCAGAGACCTTAAACGAAATCAAATACAATGGTTTACTCGTATCCCGTGATTATTTGTCTAAATAGAACAATACTACCCACCCGTCAGCACTATTATAGCTGTACTGATATGTAGGAAATGGAACCAATACGTAATCTTGCGACATCTTATTATTGGTAATGATTGACTAAATGGTACTAACTGAAGTTATATTGAAATTAATGAAGAATGGATGTATAAAGACTGCTTCACAAACCTGTCGAATCAACTGTGTGGACTTAATTTAGATGGAGATTTTAAGTAGCGGGTAAGCAACGTGCTTTAGTCATCAGTACACATATATCTATTTCAAATTCTTCATCTCAAATATAGGTATCTATTCATATAATTTTTGTATCTCTATCTACGTAATTACTGCTTATTAATTTATTTTATTCCGATAAATTAACATTTTGTTATGCCATAAATCTTAAAAATATGGTCTGACAAAAATCTATAATGTTGTGATCATCTTTCAGTATCTTCTATCCTTAAACATAAGATAGACCTTGATGACATCATTCAATAAAGATCAATAGTTTTATTTACATAACCCTATCAACAAACAAGTAACACTACGAAGACTCCAATAATTTTAAGGTGTACATCCAAGGAAGATATTCCGATCATATGAAGGTAGTTCTGCAAGTACTATATTATGCAAAGATTAAAAGTGAACTCATCGTTTTTTTCTTACAATGAACTGTGATAAGATTATAGAAAACAGAAAGAAACGAAAGAAGAAAAAATTATCCTTCAAACAATATATCCAATTTGATTAAAATCTGACTGAAATTCATTTTTATTTTGTCGAGTTGCATTTTGTTCAGCTAAATATATCATATTAGTTAAATTGAGATCGTCTGGAAGTCCTGGTAATATTGTCGGAACAAATGAAGGTGATGAGAATGGACTAAACCATCGCCATGAAAATGGTGCACCAAAAGCTTTGATAAAATTTTTTCTGGCTGATTGTTTCTCCCATGATGACTCTTCTTTTTTGATGTTTTCAATGCCCTTTTTTAAGAAAAAAAATGGAGAAAAGAAGAATAATTAAAAAGGTGCATTGAACACAAACTGTTTGTTATAAGCATTATAAAGGTGAGACCATAATTTATGAAGGATATACGAGAGATGCCAATATGATCTTGATACAACTAATCAGGGTAAAAAGAGAATTATTAATTAAGATGAGGAATTAGGATTTGGATTTAGAGAAAGGATTTCATCACAAACTGATATCAGCTATGATCCCGAAATTCTATTTAACTATATGGATGAATGGATTTTGAGCCAAGATATTCTATCCTTAGTTTCATTTGTTCACCCTATATATATATATATATATATATATATATATATATATATATAAGGTTGATATTTATTTCAGTTGTTAAATATTGTCATCACGGTTGATGGCTTTTATCAAGATACTTACTATAAAATGAAAACTTTGATTGATAAAATCGACAAAACAATAACGTTGTTTGTTTCATTTTCGGCAAGAAATGATCAACATTAAGGGTGACACATACATGTATGACCAAGTTACCAAACAACATAACAGGGCAGACAGTTGAATTTAAAGAGATGGACATCAATAGAATCGAAACACTGTAATATATATATATATATATATCTTTCGTTTGACCTATTGACTACTGCGATACCATTTACGATTCTTAACTTATTCCCGATATACTAGTTACAGTATCTCACAATCAATCACAGCCACTTTTGGCTTGATCTTGTATTATTGTTATTTTTTATTTTATGGTATTATGCGTTCTGATTTGCTTGTGATATAAACTGAGTATGTCTAAAATACATGATTCATACAGTAGCAGCTGAGATTGTGTTCTGGACTCAGACAAGTAAGGCAAGAAGAACCGTTAAAAACTCAAAGTCGATTCTTGACTGCTCTTACTGGTTAACGCGTCATTGGTTTGGCACGGGGCCAAAGTCGGATAATTCAGTGTTCTGACTGGCGATCTTATCACGTGACAATTGACAGGCTATAGGATATAACATTTATAACTTGTACTAGTGAATTTTATCTCATAACAAACAAATTATTACACAGCTCACTATTAGTTTTAATTAACTGATCGAATATGGACATAATTGACATCCTTTTAGGCAGTACTTTTATGGAATTTTATTTTTCAAACACATTGTCTTAAAAGTGAATAGTTAGTGCTGACCATTACAAACTAAATAAAAGACGAATATAGATTAAAGGCTATAAGTCACTTAACTAAATGTGTAAATGAAGATTGTTTGTACTTACAGGATACAGTGAAAACATTGATTTAACTATTATATAAGCTCTGAGATTTAAGATATGAGTACAACAATAATATGGATTTTTTGTAATATTGACATCAATATCGTGAATGCGAAATTGATATGTCTACAAACTGCTAGCAACTGTTCATTTTCATTCAAGCAAATAATAACAATAGATTAAACGATATTTTAATAAACACTGAATACAGTTGGATAGAATACTTAAACTGTATTTTAGTGCAAAGCTTCTGCAATTTCTGTCGAAATATTGCATACACTATGAACATTTTATGTCGACCTACATAAAAAGGAGAGAATCGGAATAAAGTGAGATTATTTGAAGAAGAACAGAACAAAGTAAAACCAGGTCTACTTATTTTTATTTGCGTTCAAACAAAATTGTTTGAAAGTAGCAACTTTACACGAAAGATATAATTTAAAATAAGATTATATAATGTTAAGGGGTAAAAGCGTTTAAATATTCATTCATTTAAGCTCTCCTGCCTTTAGCAATTAGCATCTACTTCATATATGATGTTGCAAGATATCCATAATAGTTATAAAGCTACATGTTGGATTTAGTGAGTGGTAGGCTTTAGAAACAACAGTTGGTCAGTATCTCTAAGCAACCTTATACAATGTGACTAAAAAATCTAATTATTAAATGTACCTCTTGTTGTAGATTCTGAGTCGGAAAGTTCAGTGTGAAACCATCATTGTCTATCTACATAACATTATGAGTATCAATTTGAAAAGAGACAAAAACATTAAATTGAACGGGGAGTTTCATTATAACTAAGATTATTAATACAAGAGAACAGGTGCATATAACTTACTGTTTCATCATTTGAAATCGCACACAATTGACTGATGCACATAACTAAAGTAAAAATACCGAACATCAAGGATTCACATATCAATCCTAGGGCAAATGCACTGCACGCCAATGAACTGAAATTGCCTAGTATATTGAAAATTTGGTTTTGTTGACAGACTGAAAGAAAATTGAAAAAATAGAGAAACATGTCCGCATAAATCCATTTAGCAACAATGATTACTAGATGAAAATGTTTTCAACATATGATAAACAACAAGTCAGCCATCACTGAAAGCTTGGAGACTACGGTAGGAACTTTCATTTTTATAACATATCAGCACACCAAAATAAAATTACGAAAATGAATATGAAAGAAGTTAAAAAATCAATAATCGTAATAAATATCGAACACAGAAATTATGCACCTTAATTCATTTGAAACGGTTGCTTGAATCTTCCCGTTCATGTTAGGGGGTACGCTTTGTCAGTATGTTTTGGCATGTGTGCATACTGCACGGATTGTTTCAATACTACTCAGAAGTTATAAGCATTTGAAGCACGGTTGGAAAGCAACTAGTAGTGGGACCTAGGGAGCGCGTATCGTCCTATGCGGGAATCGTCGGCTGGTTTTGTGTGTACCAGAATGTTGATATTCACACCAGGATTCATGCCTCAAACTCATTATTCACTTAGATATTGAGTCCCGATAGCTACTGGGCTGTACAATGGGAGTATTTTAATTCATTTGTAATGGCTGTTTGATATACATAGCGGGTATATCTAGTGGACGAACCCCGAATACGAAGAAACACACGTTCTAGATTTCCTTGCTAGCTATTAGCCAACTGATTTCTTTAAAGAATATTGTTTGCTGAGAATAAATAAAACAAGAGAACAATATGTCTGAAATACTACTGAAACTAATGACAGAAAATGATGGCGAATAAATGTAACTACAACAGATTTTGAACCATGTCACTGAAGATAATCAATGATTATCTCACAGATTCTGACAATGTTATCTGTAATTACCAACATAGTTTAAGTCAACAATCCAACACTTCATGAATGTTTCATTGATATTTTGCTACACAGTTTTCAAACAAGTTTATCAGAAGGTTAAATGAGATTGATAGAATGAATAAACAACAGATGGAAGAAGCAATTCATTAATCCATAAATAGGCCTTTCAACTAAACAAAATTTTGACTGCTTCTATCAGTAATTATGAAAGTTAAATTGTTACTTACACAGATATAAGTAATCTATACAATGGATAATTTTGTAAAATGTTATAAAATAGTTCTTTAATTGTGTTCTGTAGTCATATATATAGGATGATAACATTTTCATAAATGTTAATAAATATAATACCCATTAACTATTATATTTTGTGAACTATAAATGGGAATAGGAATAAAAATGACATTTTTTATTTATTTGATTAGATGAGTATTGATTTATATTATAAGTGAATAAATATATATACCTATCAATTGACTATTGGTTATGTAAAAAAAAAATGTTTGTAAGCAAAGATGGATAGTGGCTAGCAGTGGAATCCAGGACAAGGCGCGTTTCGCCCTATTTTGGGATTCGTCAGCTGGATGTACCTGCATCTCAAAGGTGATACTCACTCTTGAACTTGGACCCAGTACCTTCAAACACCATCACGTTATCCACTTAGCTACTGAGTCCTGATAGCCAATTGCTTGTGCAATGGGGTGAAGTTGAAATTTACTTAGTATTGTTTGTTTGAATCTTCACATTGATGTTTAGCACTGCGACTAGTCAGTCTCAAATTGGTATATGTGCATACTGAGCGTATCGCATCGATATAGCCTAGATTCACAAGCATTGTAAGCAAAGATAGGACGAAACGCGCGTCCTGAATTCCACTGCTAGCCACTATTCATCTTTGCTTACAGTGCATGTGAATTTAGGCTATATCGAGGCAATACACACAGTATGTACATATGCTAATTAGAGACTGACCAGTTGCAGTGCTAAACATCAATAGGAAGATTCAAACAAACAATACTAAGTGAATTTTTTAAAAATGTTTGTTATACATCTGTGTTGGTTTTTTGTAAAGATTTGATTAACTGTCTTTTGTTGATTGATGCACTGTTTTGATGAATGAAGTTTATCTCATCGTAATTTTGACTGTTAATATTATTGTCATTTTCATAGTTGAATTCACAAATCAATGTAAGCTAGACCACCATTGAAAACCTCGACTCATTGGACGGCCGTTCCGTCCTAGGATGGGAATCTTCAACAATGTGTATTCACGACCCCGCCTCGCGAGATTCGAACCCAGGACCTACCAGTCTCGTGCCGTAGCACTTAACCGATAGACCACTGAGCCGGTATCCAACGGAGTCAATGTCGTCCAGTGCTTCCAGATTTTCCATAGTGGTCTAGCTTCAATTGACCCTTGTCTCAACTCTATAAAATCTCCACAAACCCCTTCTGATAACGATCATATGCTCACTAGTGACTGGCTTCATGAGGTATTTCCCGGAATTCTAGTGAAAAGCGGTGACCAGTGGAGTTCAACCAGATCTGTTGGGAGATATCAACTCACTGAAGACATTATTGAATGGTTGCTCAATATCGTAGGTTGGTTGAAGTTAGACACTAATAACATTAATAACACTGACATTCTTGTTTAATAAGAATACTGAAATGAAAACATTATAAAGAAACATACACTGTGTGAAATTGTTAAATACTACCACTATTGCTACTAATATTATAACTTACCATCCCAATCGGAACCCAAACATTGTAAAAGGAAATAAATACACATTCCAATAGCAGTAAATGACATAAGACAAATATAAAACTGAAAAGTAAGAGAACGGAAAAGAAATGAATAACAACTGCTGATTAATTGATTAATTAATGGCGATCCTATTTTGTTATTTTTACTTCATTAAGCCAGATATGAGTTCAATCAAAAAACAAATAGATAAAATTATTCAAAAATATTTCAAGTATGGGGACTTGTGGAGATTGTAGTATTTTCACAGTTGAATTCACAAGTCGATTTAAGGGGTTACACAAGATCATGAATCGATTGAAGTTAGATATTAACACCGTTGGACGCCGGCTCAGTGGTCTAGAAATTAAGCGTTTGCACGCGAGATCGAAGGTCCTAGTTTCGAGTTTCATGTGCAGGGTCGTGGATGCGCACTGCTAAGTAGTCCGATACTACGACGAAACGGCTGTCCAATGCTTTCAGATTTTTTAGTGGTGGTCTAGTTTACAGCGACTCGTGAATTCAACTGTGAAAATATTCAAAGTCTTAAATATATTGGAAAACTTGATAACCTTTGGATAGCATTAAGCAGTTATAAGGTGAAAGTTACATAATATTTATCTTTGGTTTGGTCCATTCATAAATATTTTAAAATAAAAAACCGTAGATGCTTCTTCCTGAATGATCGTTTGTTTAGTTTATTTATAAGTATTTATTTAATTGAAATGGTTAGTGGAAGTAAGAATCAATGAGATTTAAATAGGAATAATATATTTGTAAAATCTCAGCGAATGAATTCGAAGTAAATCCAGCGTTTCGCCTGGCAGTCTGATCCAAGCTTTTTGAATGAAATATTTCATTCATTTAATGTCTTACATCAAGTCGGCGCCAAAATACCGTGAAACTATTCGCTCTGATGTAGACAAAAGTTCTTATAAATTAGATTTGATTTCGTTAACAAATATACCTTAGTCATAACATAATATTATTTAGCGTTATCAATTGATCAACATTCTTTAGATTAGTGTTAATTGTTAAAATGAGACTTGAAACAAACAATAATCTTTACAATTGATTGAATAAACTTTTCAGTAGAAGAACGAACTCGATTCGGTTGTATACTGTGAATTTTATCAAGATTGTATATTCAAGTGTTAACCTACATTAGTGTAGAACATAAAGGTGATGAATTTTTCGATAGTGAAAACCTATCCATACCGTAAGCAACTATGCCGGTTCACATATTATAAACATTAGATATTATTGTGTTAAGTGAGTGTTGATAAGTGCAATCATTAAAATAGCTATTTCATTCACTCAATTACCATGTTAAATACAGCTTTAATAAGCTCGTAATTAACGAATATTAACAACCCGAATAATTACCGTTTAAAATTGATTTCACGGCCAACAATATCAGTCAGAAAAAAAAAAAATTCAAGATGCACTACAGTATTATGATTAGTGATTATATTTGTCATTCTGATTCTTGAAGTTTCACAAACAATTTTTAGATACTTTCACGTAATGAATTAGTTATGTAGGGAGAAATACAACAGGTTATTTTTCGGACTTCACGTAGTAGGAAGACAGGTGTATAACCTCTCCCTTGCCAATAGGACCGGTGACTTTTTATATACCAGTTTAACATAATAGCCAATGAACAACAAGCACGATATTGACACTTAGTGGTCCTTGAACTAAGTTTAGCACGATGGTCAAATAGAAGACGAAGGTAGAAGACAGACCAACTCTTTATTGTGCTTAATTCAATTATGACACAAGCTCATAACAATTTAAAATATAATCCTGACTACATATCAACATGATTAAGAAATTACAATAAGGACATAATTACGTTATAATTAGAAGAGAACTGAGTGATAGGTTAGTAATAAATTAACAGTAACTGAAAATAGATAAAAAAATATAGCTATATATATATATATCTTAAGAAGCACCCTTTTAATGAGAGAAAAAAAGTGAGTGAAATTTCGAGGAAAAGAAATTGTGTAAATTTTATCTAAACTCTGCCTGGAGTCCTTCTAGTGTTACTGCCCATTTCAAGCTCAGATAAATGAGGATTATTGGGTATGGGGTTAACAACCCCCATTACGTAGCAAAAAACCAAGTTAGAGAAAATGTGAATCAGAAATATTTTATTCGTCTTATAATTAATTTTCAATAAAAATATAAGATCATACAATAATAATAGTAGTTAATTTAATGTTGGGATGATCCTGCAAATTTCTTGCAATAGACATGACAAGCTCAGGAAACATTAAGAAGCATTTTATCCAATCACCGCTTGATTAGAAGTTTTGCTGGGAACATCGCGAAAATGAAAAGTCATATGTAGAGCTTCTGATTGGCTGATTACTACACTGCTACTATGTTTAGTAGTATTCTAGAATTTTCAGGAAAACCCAAGGACTTCTAAAATACTATAAAAACCCTATATTTTCTGTACATAAATGAACCTGTGGAGTAAAGTGCTTCCTGCATATTTTGTGCCTTTTTTCTCGTGTTCAAGTCGCTGTGTAGTTCTAGCTTGGGAGTACAAGACTAGCTTAGGATCCGAATATAGCGTTCAATCAGTAAGACGTATCAGTGGCGACGGGGGGAAAACGACAATCAACAAGACTTATCATTTAACAATTGAACAATCAAAGAAATACAAATACTCAATATGATTACTTACAGCGAATAAAACAAAGTATTTTTGATTTCCTTCACCGACACAATTGTTTACCCATGGACAATGATGATCCATTTTACGTATACATCGTTGACAAATACTAACAGATAAATACATATATGAGTAATAAAAATTAAAACCAAAAAGATATGCAATGAAACATTACGAATTATAATGTTATAGCACATGTAAAACATTGAATTACTTTGCCTTTATTTAAAAGATTTTAAACATGACACAAACATACTACTACTTATGAAAATATCGACAATTAATAGAACAAATTCGATCAGTTAGATAAACAGTAAGAAGATCAGTAAAGACCTTTTATTTAACGATTCATATCTTTTCCGGTTATTGATACTGAAAAATTAAATTGGTTGGATTCGTTTCTGAAGTATCCAGAAGACGCGGAATCTTTCAAGTACATGGACAGCATCATCGATGAAAAAGGAGGATCTGATGCAGATGTAAATGTGAGGATTGGCAAAGCAAGGGCAGCTTTTCTACAATTGAAGAACATATGGAACTCAAAACAACTGTCAACTAACTTCAAAGTGAGAATCTTCAATACGAACGTCAAGACACTCCTACTGTACGAAGCTGAAACGTGAAGAACTACCACAAACATCATCGAGAAGTATTTATAAACAGTTGTCTACGCAAAATACTCAACATTCACTGGCAGGATACCATCAGCAACGGCCTACTGTGGGGGGAGGACAAACTAGCTTCCAGCTGAAGAGGAAATCAGGAAAAGACGTTGAAAGTGGATAGGATATGCATTACGGAAATCACCAAACTGCATCACCAGGCAAGCCCTACCTTGGAATGGTGAAGGGAAGCGGAAAATAGAAGACCGAAGAACACATAACTCCGGGAAATAGATATGAGAAGGATGAATAACAACTGGAAAGGATTGTCCAGGACAGAGTTTGGTGAAGAGTGCCGATGAACATCTTATGCTTCTCCACGAGGGGTACCAGTGGTGAGTAAAGCTCGATAACAAATTCTTTGAATAAAAAATGCCCGAACTGCGTGTTTTTAATGTTTAAATATTAATTATCTCGCAATATTCTGATTTTTTTAATCTTATAGCTTTATATTTGGTTAACATTTTTGTTGCGATTCTTGGTGCTTTTATAAGGATTGTTTATTGGCACTGGCATTATTTGAATAAGTGATTTGAGGGTGGTTATCAGTACTGAAATTTTTCTCTTGACCACAAATTTATAGGTGTTTTGCATGTTTTTCTTGTGTTGTAGGGTAGGTTTATAGATTAAGGGTTGAGTCTTTTGATTCATTTAAAATTATATGGTCAGTACTATAATTTCATCCGTTCGGCGATCTATAAATACTTGGTTACTAGTCATGAAGTTGACACGAAGACGTGTCTGATATAATCCACGAGCCACTCAATCTCTAGTCCAACGCATCCATCGAAGCCGGTACAGAAGCGACATGGACATACTTAAGTCGTATTATCTTATCGACAATTAGTCCTCTTGTCACCTCTTCTCACTGATCCATCCGGTGGATTGTTCCATAATTATTCAAATAATCGTCATAGTCTCGTTACATGACTGTCACATTACCACCTAACATGGAATTGTTATTGCCGTTCGTGTTGACATTAAAATATGACATTTACGCAATCTTATCATTCGCTTATCAAATTGTAATTTTATGGACATTGCATTCACGCTACGACATTCGAAACTCATTGAACTATTTTTATTATTCAGTAAAGTAAAATTTCCCCGCCTTGAAGTGAGTTCGGTTCATTCTTTTTCATGTAATTTTTACCTTATTATTACACTCATTCACGTCGTCGAGGTCATTTTTATGTTATCACACCACACATTTTCCATTTCGATATCATCTATATTTTATTCTGGATCATTCATCACATCAATGGCATAATCATAATCGTTCATTTTTGTGGATATATGGCTATCACATGTCATATAATTTCGAACAAAAATGGTAATGTTAGCATGCAATTATGATCAAGGTAATCAGTGTACAGAAAATTAACATGTATTTGTGTCGTGACTATCTGAATGATAAAGTGACACGTTTGCATGAGCGCTTTTAAACACCGTAAAAACAGTAATAAATCGTTCATGGGTATGATAGCGGAATAAATCGTGAAAATAAGTAAGGTAGAATATAACGAGAATTGATCTGTGGTGCCGACCCAATATGAGAATAAAGGACCGTGAAATATGAAGATGTTCTAATAAGCAGCGTTGATCAGCGACTAGTGTATTCGAGTTCACATACATAGAGTTTATGTGGGATAAAAATAAACCAGCAATCATATGATAACTGAATTGATAGGTGATATTTGCTACTGTATTGCAATTGATAATATTAATATGAGAAGTCAGTGTACGTTGTTGTCCGCGTCATATGTATATTGATATTTTTACTACACCTTATTACGGTTTCGTAACAAACGAGGTCGAGTGCATATCCCTCTAACGACATAAACTACGCTAAGCTTCACGACCAAATGGAATACGACTCCGTATATCTCGTCCCCGACTCACTATTCTTCTCCTCTGGTTATTCTACTGATACATATTCACTGACAACTCTTTGATACAGGCAGGTTTACTGTGTTATGATCTTGTGGGGAGGGGCTGCATTTATGATTAAGTATGGAGTATTTCCGTTTGTAATTCTGAAAGGAAACGGAAAAGAGGAAGGCCGAACACGTTGCGCATAATTGGAAGCAGACATGAAAAGTTTAAACAGCAACTTGAAAGGATTGTCCAGGACAGGACGGCCTATGCTCCTTTACGAGGAGTAACAGGCGTAAGTAATCTCCGTCTATAAGACGGACGGATAAAGCCTGCCTACGGTAAGAAATTACTATTATGTTGAGGGACACCTGTATATACTTCTTGGACGGCTGATATTCTGTCTGGATTTTATGTTTCGGCCATAGATGAGTAGGTATTTCTTGTTACTATCAGTGATAGTTTGGGTTATAATGCTTATGGCTGGGTCATGTAAATCCGAAATGGTTCAATTCATGAGTGCCATTTAAACACATGTTTTAATAAAGTTTAATTGTAACTAACAATGAGGTCAAAGATGCGCTTTTTACCATGACGTTTAAAGTGGTACATAGTGGTGTAGAATCACAATATGAACGTTAAAACTACAAAGCGAGAATATTCGGATAACGAATCCGAAATAGGACGATACACGTATCACGAATTCCCCTCTCTAATCGCACTTACTAGAATTTGAGATTTCGTCAACTGATTGGCGATTGAAACAATCTCAACTCAGTTTTCAAAATATAAAAATAGTCTGTGGATAAATTTTAAAAAAAACAGCAAAATTCGGTGAAACTATGATTTATGGACAACCTTTGAGCGACGTTAAAGTGACCTTGAGAACGTCCATTTACTTACAGGGGCAAATGAAGATTATGAAGCAGTTTGAAGAATAAAGCTTATGATTTACAATTGAGGGTTAAGGTTAGAAATTAAATTTAGGTTTTTCATCATGATCTGACATAAGTTTAAATGCCGGCAAGCGGTTAAGCCAAATGGATGAATGGATTTCGCGTCAAAATTCAAGACCTGTTGTACTAAATCTGATTGATTCGTCCATAAATTTTAGTCTCGCCCGAAGTTCTCAAATTAACTTTGATAAGTTCACATATTATGACACCCATACTAAGATTCAAATCTTACTTAATGTCAAACCTTATCATCATAAAATTTTAATATTATTCTATATTGATTTATGTCATGTGAACAATTTGTTGAAATGTTTTAACAATAAAAGCATTTTTCCTTAACGACCTATGGAAATATGAATGAAATTCGGATCATTCGTTATGATGCTCTGTAAATTAAAAATATCAACGAATGTACTAGTTTACATAGTAATAAAAAGTCATTCAAGCGAGAAGTCTAAACTATAGATAGAATATTAAATAAAATGAGAAATGAATTTATTCTGACAGTATTAGGTGATTACAGATAGTCGACAGGAAACCTTGAGTCTAAATTTTGTTCAATTTAGAACTCATTAGTAAGATGTACCCTTAGTGTTAGGGGAATCGGTGTTAAATAATAGATTTAATTCCGTATCGACGATATTTCTGCGTGTGTGTGATTTTTTTAAAAATGAATCGTATTTGTTATATGCAAAGATTAATTCATCGTCTTATACCATAGTTCATTTACGTAGTCTGTAATTCAATAGTGAGAGGATTGTTTCGTTTTTGTGAAAATAATATTTTACTTGACACCAAGTTATGAACTAGCAATTAGTAGTATGCTTTTTCGTGCAATCATGTAACTTATCTAGCAGGTATTAATCATTATTATTACTATCACAGTTTGTGCTTTTCCATAATGTCAACTTAAGACTAACTCTTGTTCCACAGAATTACATATAAATTGTGTCAGTTTTTATACAGAAGAAACAAATCATTTATAAAGAATTGATCCAGTTACACTCCTCTAAACACAATATGTGAAGACTAGTGATTTTAAATGTTTTTCCATGAACGAAGTAAAAAGTAGTTGGGATTTGAACCTAATAATATCTAATAAAGAACCAAGTACTTTGAACGTCAGACATAATAAAAGTGTTATAAAATGTGAAGGGTTTCGGAAGTGCAACCTATTGAAAATATCAAGACAAACAAATAACAAGAAAACATTAATTTCTTGTTCTTGTCATAGTAAAATGCTGAAACTTTTGACAGTGAAAATAATTAATTCTGGGAAGCTAGTTATAGAATTAAAGCAAAAAATACAACGCAAAAGAGTAATATTTATATGAATATAACTTAGTTAATCAATCATATCCACAAAAGACAAGCATTGGAATTATAAGGAATAACCATAAATACATTGTCACTAAATCCATTTCTACTACTGATCAATATATAAGTAGCTAAAAAGTATAACAAAAAAGGATGAAAATTTCAGTAGTTAGAACCTAACAATTCCTAAAGTATTTCGGTAGCCAATTAACGAATGTCAAGTAACATAAAAAGATTTGGCTGAATTTAAAGTTTTAACTTCAGGTTGTCCATTTAAACTGAAGTGATTATTGTTTATC